GTCTGTCACTCCTCGCTCCTTGTAAAGTTTATTATCCACATAAAGCTTATCCACTGAGATGACAGCTCTCTTCCCATCTTGGATAAACTTTTTACGCAGCGGAAAGAGAACTCTGCGCCGATCCAGGATTTCCTTAGGAAACTGGTCATTAACGCTGAAGTCTTTGCCTTTGAGCTCTCTTCCGTGACTTTTAACCAGATCCTTCTGCTTAAAATGTTCAAATTTAGCCACGATGGGACGAGGTCGTCTGCTGTCCCCTCTTTTAGCTCCAAGGCGATGTACTCGGTCGAAGGTGATGTTTTTTACCGTTTCTTCGGGTATCTTCATTTGGGTCTGGAGAAAGGGTTTAACAGTGCGTTCGCAGTCCTCGGCCCCTCCCACCTCCTCCGACAGACCTGCAAACACCAAATTATCCCTCATGCTACGGGCCTGAAGGTCCAAAACCGTCTCCTTCAGAGTTTTGTTGTCCTGGGTGATCCGCGTCATTCCCTCCTCCAGGGAAGAAACGGACTCCCGCAGAGACGCGTTCTCAGCAGCGAGCCGCTCCACCTGCTCCTGGCTGAATTCCAGGGACTGGCGGAGGTTCTGAAACTCCTGGTGCAGAACCTCAAGCAGATGAAGACGCCCCTCAAATCCCAGAAGCCGTTTATCTATGGATTCTAATAATTCCAATATGTCCTTCCGGGGAGATGAGGCCTCAGGCGAGTCCTGAGGGCGGCTCCGCTTCGTCCCAGGTGTTTCAGGTTCACCTGCTGATTTCTTCGGACCCATAACAAATAACTCGAAAACTCCGTCAATAAAGTTCTGTAAACTTTCTAAATTTTCTTCACTTACCTCCAGATTGAGCGAGTTATACTTACCAGATTATTTTTTTGCGTTGTCAGTTTTTAAATTAGGCAAAAATGCATCTGAATTGTTTGTGAATGTTTGCTAACGAGCTGCCATCAGCTTCAAACGCTGCTGTGTCCGGTAATCGGCCGTCAGCGCATGCGCATCTCACACCTCAGACCCACCCCAGCGGAGCCCTCCCTGCTTGCCGGCCGCATCAGTGATCTGTGCGTCGGAGGACAAGGTGAGGCGCCCCGCTCCACAGCAGCGATACACATCAGGCGCAAATAAAAGACAGAAAACATTAAAGGAAATGAACCGACATGAACGATCGCGTGTCAGTACCTACGGTCCGGCACAGCGCGTTGCTGATCACAGAGAATGTGATCATACGATAATTCAATAGGGAGCGTGATTTCACAGACGCGGAAGTGATAGCGTCGGTGAAACGCCGGCTGCTCTAGGAAACCCCCGAGCATTCGAGCGTCAACGAAGTGACACGGAAATGCCGGGCTTTCCAGAAGTAAGTAAGATAACTTACTATGAGCTGATAGTTCGTTGGATTGATTGGTAGGTTGGAAACTCTGATCGTGAATCTGAAGAAACGATGACTGAGTGGTGAGCTGGAAAGGCGACTTCCGTTTATAGCCGCGGTTTGTGACGTAGGTGCGATGTGGAGGGAATCCCCGCGAGGGGCATGCTGGGAGTCCCTACTTCGCGGATTTTCACCTATCGCGGCCAGGTCTGGAACGCATCTACCGCGATAAACGAGGGATTGCTGTAGTTCATACACCCCCTACTGCTGCTCTCCAGAGTGTTCTGCAGCATAATCAGCACGTTCTCTTTGAACTTGATAGTGTAATGACCTGGCTGGGGTTGTAAGCCAGGTGCATTCTGGGTAATGTGTTATATGTGTCTCCTATCGTTCTGCTAGTTCCTATGTGCTGATTTGCGTGTTGTGTGAGTGTTATGTAAGCCACAGGGAAGGTGATGTGTGTTCTGTGGAGTGGGTTGAATTAGCATGGTTAACTGACACCGTGACTCTGTGTGGTAGGAGCGTGATAGAGGATCGTGTCTGTAGCGGTTCAAAGCGTTGAAGAAAAAGCCCAACAAAGGTCTGCGTGAACCCCTAGTGCCCACTGCTGGTTGATTTGGGGACTATAACCCTGCTGCTGGGACGCTCGTACTTGCTCGTTACCACATTCCATCCGGCCACAATAGGAGACCGGCCATTATTTACCTCTGCTGACTCCGACACCGGCCAAAATTGGAGACCCGGCCTTTAATTGATTACCGGCTTGTATTAGAGGATTTACGGTATTTCTGCTGTGAAATTGGTATTTTTAACATGGGAGTCAATGAGGATTTGCTTGCTTCTGACACCAGCCCCTAGTGGATGAGGGCGGAACTGCAATTTATTTCACTTCCACGTTGGCTTCAATTTCATACCAGTATTATGGGGGCTTGAGTATGCTGCTGAAGCACTTCATCTTCTGGGGAGACTCCAACAGGGTATACACAGGCTGCACTACGCAGCTGCTCCCTCTCTGGTGGACTGTGGTACTGCATTCCTCTTCTCTGTGATTTTTTTTCCTCTTCAAATATCAAAATTAGATTCGGGTCTTTACGTAAGGATATCCAATCGCTTGTTCCAAGTACATTTTTATTTTCCAGATATCCATCATAACATTCTTACTATCCATAATGAGCACGTCTTAGGAAAAATGATGTCACATTTCCCATTCATGTGGATTGAGAAAGTGAGTTTCTCCTGGTCAGAATTCAGTTTAGCTGTTGTGTTTATCTGGAACTTTAATTTTCACTAAGAACAACAGATTGGATCAGAACCACAGAACCAGTCTGCCTAATAAATGTTTAACCAGCCAGAGAGCCGAGCTGATGATTAACACCGACTAGCTAACACCACTAAAACTTGTCTTGTGGGACTTTTTAACTATCTTTATGATTCTTTGTGAGAAATCTCCTGATGTCCATCCATGTTGGTGGAGTGATCACACATGGAAACAACCTATTGTTGGAGTGACTTCTCCTCCTCCGGCCTGCACTGAAGTTTCACTTCAGTTCGCTCTTTTAGTTTAGTTTTGATTTTTTTCTTTACTTGAGAACACGTCCATGTGCAATAGTGTCTGGACCCTTCTCCAATAGAGACTGGACCCTTGATGCCGATTGAAGCAACGCTCTTTAAATTTTCATGAGCTGCTCCAAAAGGTGCTTGTTTTTCACAGTCCCACGTGAACTGTTAGGTTTAAAGACCAGAAGCGCCACATCTCTGCATCGCTCTAGTTTGAAAAGCGCCAAACTGATGTGTTTTCCTTTTTATTATTTACATTTATCCTGTAGATAATGCAAACCTATAAGGGTATTTGTTTAGCCTTACATAAAAACTACAGTGGAGTAAACTTGTAGTATTCTGCGCTGAATACATTTGAAGGTAAGAAAAAGCTATGACGTGAGAAAAAAAATTAAATGGTGACAAAATGCATAAAAAAGAGTGGTGATGGTGGTAATCATTAAAATAGTTTAATCATCAAATTGAAGGACCTTGAATGGAAATCGAGTCAAATCCTGGCGTACCTGAGATGGAACACCCCTGCTGGACATGTTCTTCACATTGTAAAGAGTTATGTCAGGATAAATTGTATATAGAATATATATATATATATATATATATATATATATATATTTTTTTTTTTTACAAATGTTCTGCAACTCTGAATGTTTAACTATAGAAAGAAAGAGTTATTTTTTTCTACAAAATTAAGCTACCCTTCCACAATGGTGCTGCAATATACTCTAAACCACATGTGTCAGACTCAAGGCCCGCGGGGCATTTTTATGTGGCCCGCGAGATAAATATCAAAAATACATTAAAACTGGCCTGCTGGCCGACTTTACCGCAAAGACTTCAACTCCCATGATGCTTTGCGGCATTAGCGCAGAGCCGATGCGCCCCCTCCTTTGTGTTTATTCCAGCGTCTGCGGCCAGTGTCTGCAGCTCCGCTGTCTCGGACAAACTAAACACTCCTCTCACTCAGCGCCGAGTTCACTCAGCTGTTTTCTGACGTTGAAGCCCAGAAACAGAGATTCTAGCCGCTCAGTAATGTGTTCACGACTGAAAGAGAAAGTTTTCCAACTAACGTCCAGACAGAGCTGATATAACTCCAGCGAACAGCAACAAGCTCAAACCAGCATGACTCTGTGGCTGCTGTCATGTTTCCTCCCCGACACACAACAACGTGGTCAAGCTGCTCAGACATGTTCATCAGCACAAACCTATGTGAGCACCTGTTGTCATCTAATGTTGTCATTATGATGATGAAGATGAACAAAACAACAGGAGTCTCCTCCTCAGCTCAGATCAACCCCATGATGCAGGTATCTGGCTGGAACAGGTGAGCATCACAGTAAACCAGTGGAGCAAACTGAGCTTTAAATATGTTGGTTTTATGCTCTTTTTCTGCTCCAAAACATGAAAGTTAACAGGTGAGATATTGCATTTTCATTTAAGATAAAATGATATTTTTATTTTGTTGTTGGCCCGTGAGAAAAGATTTAACCTACAGTAAACAGGAAGTGGAAAGGCTGCAGATAGATGAATAGAATAGAAAATCCCTTTATTGTTCCTCAGTGGGGAAAGCTGGACGTCACAGCAGCGATGACACGTATTACAGGAGAAAAAAAGGAGAATAAAAAATAAGAAAAATGAATAAACAAGAAAACATAAATCCTGAATAGATTTTAAAAATGCTGATTATACCACAAGTAATGAATACCACGGATGCGTTTTATTTAAAACTGACTTGCTCGTGTGTAATTTGGTTATTCCACATTCAGTGTTAATGCAGAAATATGTTTGTTTCCAAATTTAAAGGTTCAAAATTGCATATATGTTGATAAAGAAAATGTGCGAATTTGCCGTCACTTTTTCAAAAAATATTAAGTTTGGCCCTCGACTCCGTCCCAGAGTTTCATTTCGGCCCCGTGTGAGTTTGAGTTCGACACCCCTGCTCTAAACAGTTGAACTGAGGTCATCTCTCACATTGCGAAACTATCCCAAGAAACAAAACTAAGTTTTTTCTAATAAGTACAAAACAAACATACGGTACTTAAAACTGATTTAGCTGGACACAATGAGCTCTGTAATCACACACCTTCATTTCTGATGGCCTGGGGGACATTTGTGATGTTCAGTTCTTCTATCTCCAGGTGCCACAGGTTGGGCAGCAGGCCCAGCTCTGCTGGAAGTTCTCGGATCCCAGGATTACTGTTGAGAAAGGAAGAACACAGGTCAGCAGCTCAAATCCAAGTGACCATTCTTTTATTTGATGAAAAACCGATTCAAACAGTTGTCGTATAAAAGAGAGCGAATCATCCCTAAATCAACTTTTGCTTGCAGATAAACTGTAGAAATTGGTTTCTTATAGTGCTGTAGACATGTGTAATATCCATTTTAGTATTTGAGATCATCTTATTTAAAATACAAAGATTCTGCCCAAAATCTTCAGTGCAGCGTTCTCCTCAGCTTTAAACCCTGATATACATTGGAACTTGAATCAGCCATTGCTATTGGCTAAACAGGTATTTCTACAGCATTTTAGCCGGTATTTCTAACATGGCTGACCTGGACTGCACTGCAGCAGAGTCTCAGCCATGCCTTCGGATGGCTTGGTCACTCACAAGCCGATACAAAACGATATGGCTAAGAGCCTCTTGCCTCTGGTGAAGAAATCCTCCTCTCTAGGAAGCCTGCTGCGGTTTCTGTGTCCAAGAGACCCAGTTCCGCAAGGTACGGTGCTCTCACCCTTTCTATTCACCTTCTATACCTCTGACATCGCCTACAACACCAGCACTAACGCCATCTCCAGAAGGTCTCAGAAGACTCGGCCATTGTCGGCTGTGTGTCTGAGGGGAAAGACCTAGAGTACGGGTCAGTCATCATGGACTTTGTTGACTGGTGTGAGCGTAACCACCTTCGCTTGAACACCAGTAAGACAAAGGAAATGGAGACTGACCTCCAGTGAAACACTCCTCCTCACTGACCAGTAAACATCCAGGGTGCAGACATTGAGGTGGTGATTCCCAAAGTCAGAGACTCTCTTGGTCAGCTTGCTTCTCACACCAAATCCTCTGTCAGGAATCTTGGCGTGACCTTTGACCCAGCTCTCACCCTGGATTCTCATGACAGTTCTCTTGTTCGCTCTTCCTTCTTCCATCTCAGGAACATTGCTAAGCTGAGTCCCGTTCTGTCCCGCTCTGAACTTGAGACAGTTCTCCACACCTTCATCTCCTCACGCGTAGACTACTGTAACTCTCTTTTCACGTGTCTGAGCAGAACCTCCCTGAACCGTCTACAGGTGGTTCAGAATGCCTGTGCTCGGCTTCTGACCAAGTCCTCCAAACCTTGTGTGAGAAGATGTATGAAGTTGATGAATGTATCACTTCACTATTCCGCAGCAGTCGATGCTGGAAAGACATGGTAGTGGTCCGAAAAAATCTGGAATGCACAGGTCAGGCGTGTACTCTGAGCTACTGGAGTGAGTTTCATACCAACATCATTTATTTTATGGCTAAGGGACAAAATCTCAGCTGCCCCAGATTTTGTAAAACAATAATCCCCAGACTGGTATCATTTTTTTTTACTATACTGATGATCACAACAATGTTTATAAATTATTGATGCAGATCTGTGCATCATTCTGTAGATTTCCACTAAGGAAATGTGTTAGTTTAATTTATTATTTCAGTTATCAGACCTCCATTTTGAATGTATATTGTGTCAAGCATCCACCTACTTAAATGCAGTCATGTTTTCCATAGACTGCAGCGTTGTGAGTTTTCACAGAATTAATCCAAATAACCCAGTTCTGCTCTTGAGCATCAGCAGAGATGCTCATAAACATTTAGATGGACTTAAACTGTGATGCTGTTGTGTTAAAAGGCAGGAATGTGACTCGTTATTAGGAACCTGAGGGCAGATCCTGACACACTGATTTCAAAACCCTAAACCTGTTCAGATCAAACGTGGTAAAACCGCCATTTCTTTCATTTATCTGCCCAAAAGCATGACTTTTTCAGGAAGCACACGGATAAGAAACGTGTTAATATTACAGATATGTTTAAAAGTAGCACCGTCATCACTCATAGTAGCGTCAACGAGCGGCTGAGCGCTGCGCATTCCCACGCAGGGAGGCACTGAACTGAGCTGAATGAAGTTGGCTTCCAACCCACATCAGAAATCCACGCAAATAGAGTAGTTAGTGCTTTCTGGTGTTAGTGGGGAACCACCTTCACTACTTGCTAAGGACAGTCTGTAGAGCAGACTCAGCTAGGACACAGACAGCAGCAGAAGAAGAAGAAAATATCATTTCTATAGCACCTCTCAAGATAAAAATCCCGAGGCGCTTCACAAAAACAAAAAATGTAAACATTTAAAAAAGAATTTAGAAAATGGTTAAAAATATATTTAGAATGACACATAAAGCTCTTAATAATCAAGCTCCATCATACATCAGTGATCTGATTGTTCCATATATTCCTAACCGAGCACTTCGCTCTCAGACTGCAGGTTTACTGGTGGTATTTCACCCGACCAATAAAAGAAAAGTGTTTTTAATACAAAAAAGCCAACCTTCAAATAATTATGTTCAGTTATGCACTCAATACTTGGTCGGGAGTCCTTTTGCAGAAATGACTGCTTCAATGCGGCGTGGCATGGAGGCAATCAGCCTGTGGCACTGCTGAGGTGTTATGGAGGCCCAGGATGCTTCGATAGCGGCCTTAAGCTCATCCAGAGTGTTGGGTCTTGCGTCTCTCAACTTTCTCTTCACAATATCCCACAGAGTCTCTACGGGGTTCAGGTCAGGAGAGTTGGCAGGCCAATTGAGCCCAGTAATACCATGGTCAGTAAACCATTTACCAGTGGTGTTGGCACTGTGAGCAGGTGCCAGGTCGTGCTGAAAAATGAAATCTTCATCTCCATAAAGCTTTTCAGCAAATGGAAGCATGAAGTGCTCCAAAATCTCCTGATAGCTAGTTGCATTGACCCTGCCCTTGATAAAACACAGTGGACCAACACCAGCAGCTGACATGGCACCCCAGACCATCACTGACTGTGGGTACTTGACACTGGACTTCAGGCATTTTGGCATTTCCCTCTGCCCAGTCTTCCTCCAGACTCTGGCACCTTGATTTCAGAAAGACATGCAAAATTTGTTTTCATCCAAAAAAAGTACTTTGGACCACTGAGCAACAGTCCAGTGCTGCTTCTCTGTAGCCCAGGTCAGGTGCTTCTGCTGCTGTTTCTGGTTCAAAAGTGGCTAGACCTGGGGAATGCGGCACCTGTAGCCCATTTCCTGCACATGCCTGTACACGGTGGCTCTGGATGTTTCTACTCCAGACTCCATCCACTGCTTCCGCAGGTCCCCCAAGGTCTGGAAACAGTCCTTTTCAACAATCTTCCTCAGGGTCCTGTCATCTCTTCTCGTTGTGCAGCGTTTTCTGCCACACTTTCCCTTCCCACAGACTTCCCACTGAGGTGCCTTGATACAGCACTCTGGGAACAGCCTATTCATTCAGAAATTTCTTTCTGTGTCTTACCCTCTTGCTTGAGGGTGTCAATGATGGCCTTCTGGACAGCAGTCAGGTCGGCAGTCTTACCCATGATCGTGGTTTTGAGTAATGAACCATGCTGGGAGTTTTTAAAAGCCTCTGGAATCTTTTGCAGGTGTTTAGACTTAATTTATTCAGATGATTAGGTTAATAGCTCGTTTAGAGAACCTTTTCATGATCTAATTTTTTGAGATAGGAATTTTGGGTTTTTATGAGCTGTATGCCAAAATCATCAATATTAGAAACAATAAAAGGCTTGACCTACTTCAGTTGTGTGTAATGAATCTAATATATATGAAAGTCTAATGTTTATCAGTACATTACAGAAAATAAGGAAATTTATCACAATATGCTAATTTTTTGAGAAGGACCTGTATATGTTGTGTGTGTGGGTGGGCTGGTGTTAGTGTATGTGTGTGTCTGCTCTGTCTTCTCCATCCCCAGTGAGTCGTGGAGGATGGCTGCTTATACTGAGCCAGGATCCTCTGGATGTTTCTTCCTGTTAAAAGGGAGTTTTCCTCTCTACTGTCACTAAATGCTTGCTTAATATGAGGATTGCTATAAAGACTCTTGACACTAATCAGTGACTTGATGCAATTTGCTGGGTTTCTTATATAGGAAACTTTTTACTGATTGGCTTAATGAACTGACCTGTACTGGAATGTTTACTGTGTGAAGTGCCTTGAGACGACTCTTGTCATGATTTGGCGCTATATAAACTTGAATTGAATTGAATTGAAAAGGTGCTTCTACTAAATACTATCGTGAGCCGGGGTGAGTACTCGCTCTCACAAACTATCTCTGAGTATGTAAGCGGCAGCTGCACCACATCGGATGATTAGTGGGTTGAGGGAGCGGCAGCTGCATTGCATCAGCTGATTCAGCGGGTCTACTACTAAAGGAGATGGTGAACACAGCTCGACGCCGGATGATTACTATGGCTTGGTAGTGCCCAGCCCTAGCTCTCTTGGTTTCTCGTGGTTAGTCTCAGTGTATTTTTGGCTCTTGAACGTTCTTGGACCTTGTGTAATCTTTGTATTTTAGGACTCACCCACCTCAGGCCCTTCGCTCATCTGGAATTTCTCACTCAAACTCCATAGGACTCCGCATTCAGCCACGTTCATCCTGCTCCTCCCAGACCGTCCCGCTCACACCATCCTCCTCCCGACCGACCCGCTCTCACTCTCAAACCCTGCGCTCCCTCTCTAGCTCAGGAGATCTCCCTTCTGGATCATCCCCAGCTCTCTACCTCCCCTCGTTACCCAAACCATCTCCCATAAGTCCCCTCTCAGTATTCCTGCCTAGACTGTTTATCTCCTGGACTCACCTCTGGTTTGCTCTCCCTCAGACCCTGGTTCCCGTTTTCTCCCCCTGATCTGCTGGAATTCTCAGCACGCCCTAAGTTCCCCTTAAATAATAAATTCTGTTTTACTTACCTTCATTCTGTGTATGGAGTTGTGATTCTGCATGTCTTGGGTTAGACTCATCCCCAAAACCATGACAAATACTGAGAAAAGGGTCTGAAAGCTCAGGACCACTTGATAATTCAGTTTTTGTTTTTTAACAGATCTGCAGAAATTTCTAAAATTGTGTTTTTCTGTCAATGTGGGGTAGTGTGTGTACATTAATGAGGACAAAAATCAACTTCATTGACTTTAGCAAACGGCTGTAATATAACAAAGAGGAAAATAATGATGGGGGTCTGAATACTTTCTGTACCCACTGTAAGTACGTACTTCTTCCCACTTCTTTTGGAGCATGTGGCAAATGTAAAATAGCTTTAATTAGTTTTTTTTAAATAAATGTTCTTCTTATTGTTTTGTGTGGTTCTTTTATTCACCATATACAGTGGTGCATGTTCCAAATGACAGAAGAAAATTAAGTAGCAAATGGCCTGTATTTTCATAGCACCTTCTTAGGGTTCTACAACCCCCCAATGCGCTTCACAACACAGTCAGTCAGTCTTGCCCAACGACAGAACAGCAGCATTCTCTGGTCAGAGCCGGGTTCAAACCTGCAACCTTCCAATTACTGGAAAACCTGCTCTACCTCCTGAGCTCCGGCTGTCCTGAATTAAAATGAAATGTTTAATCTATAAGTGACAAGGAGAAGTTTAGACAGACTCACTTGGACAGATCCAGCTCTGTGAGGCTGTGCAGAGCACACACCGACTGAGGAACACACTCCAGCTGGTTATGGTTTAGGGTCAGCACTTCCAGTGAATCCCGCAGGATACTGGGGAACACAATGGGGCACACTACAGAAACAGAAAAAGTTCAACAGGTTCACAGACATGGGATATAACAGGAATCTTTTCCAAAACAAGCCCATTGAACTGAGTGCTTTAGAGAAATCAACATTTTCAAATCAAAACTACAACTTTCATTTCACTGTGTAACGTACAAAAGGGTCTATTTTTCACCATCCAACTGACCTTTCATCTACATGCATAAATCCACTTTCTATTTGGCCTTCCAATTCCAGAAGGTTCTGCTCAGTGCGTGTTTACATGCATGAACACAAAACATTCCAGACAAACATTCTCACCCAAGGTCCTTCACTCTCTGTGTAAAAGCAGACTGCTGAAGTCCTCACTATCTACTTGAAGCTTCTACAGGATTTTACAGTTATAAGTTAAATAATCATATGTGATGAATGAACAAGATGTTTAAATCAAATAGTTGAATAACTTGTGCTTAAATCAGTGATGGCTTTGAAATGAATATTGTTCTTAAAACGATCCATTTCAGATCTTATTATCAGTATGTGTTTGATTTAACAAGTTAATCATTGTTTACATGCATACACATTACAATAAGATACTCATTAAGGTTAACATCACTTCACATAAGAGTTTTGAACATTCTTATTCACAGTGTTAAGAAATCTTTGTATCTGAAGAAGGCGTGGCTTTCTGAGGGATGTTGGTAAATACTCAGAAACGTGTCAAATTCTGATTTGCCAAACTTGGCCAAAACTCATAACATTGTGGTATATTAAAACCAGAATTACTTCCCGATTAGTTCATTTTCCAGCTGACTCCACTTCCACTGACTGATTTGGCCAAATCGGGAAAGAAGCCACTTTTGAAACAAACTCCTTAGACGTCCAGCCAAAAGCCTCTTTGAACGCTGCAAGCTGATGCAGCCAAAACAGCTTTTCAGAGCTACTTAAACTCCCAGACATTCACCTTGGACACCTAATCTGCAGACCCCAGGTTGCACCTCATGGCCGGGGAAGCTAAATTCAGAGGAAGCTTCTAATCTCTGCGTATTGTGGTTTCGACGTCCGGTGACCTCACCACTCGGACCGCACCCCTCCGGACCGATGGGAACAACTCATACCAGGGTATTGTAAGCCTGCACACTGGAGTCGGACGAGGGTTTTCATCAAAACAACACTCTAGTTATAAACAACGACAACGTTTTTTACAGCCCAGACTTCACATTTTCTCTCTGATACAAAGCTTCCATTACATTTCACACAGCACATTAAATCACTCCAAATCCATTACACCACATCTCATTATTCCTATATCGTCATGTATAATTATTAGTTTAGGAAAAGAATTAAATTCATTTTACAAACTATATACTGACTCTGTCTGAATTAATACGAAGTGTGTTTATGGTCCCTGAAGAAGTAAAGAACCCTAGAATCTTCTGATTAAACATCCAAAGATCAACCAGATTGATATTTCATATTTAGATGAAATCATCACATCTTATTGGTCAAAACTGTAATGTCAAGCAATGGTCAGTTTTCACCTAAAAGTTTTCACCGGCAGACATAAAATTCCATTCTCTATACTCTTAAAAATGCTGGGTTATTTTTCTAACCCAGCTGCTGGGTTAAGGCTGAATTTTTAGAGGTTGGGTCAATTTAACACATCATTGGGTTAAAAATTCTGACCCAGCGTATTGGGTTTAAAAATGCGGGAAATAGTAAGATCCTCCTCCTTGTCTGTGAGCCCGCTTCACCATTTTAAACCAGAGGATGACACGGACATTAATGGAGCTTCACACCAGCAAGGATTTAAAACAAGGTAAGACGTTACTAATAAAGAGTTTAAAGATTAATTTAATTAAAACTGGACATGTAGTTGATAAAGTAACAGATTTTTAGCCTGTCTGTTCAAGACAACAGACTCATAGTTTACATTAGGTAGCTGGCTACTTAGCTTCCTAGCATCGATATATATATATATTTTAGTGGGGGACGTTAGGCCTTCTGGCTATTTTATACCAGTGGTAGCATCCCCGCTAACAGCAGAGGGCCTTTATGCTACAGTCATGTGAATAATGTAACACATTTCAATTTTACAGACAAAAGGGTGGATGTGGCTTTGTTGTTGCTGCCAGTGCTTCTCCAAACTGCACCACACAAGTTGAAGGAGAGCGTTCCGACCAAGCAGATGTTCAGCAGGCCTTCACTGACTTCCAACCTGTAAGTTCTGTTATTTTTTACTTCAGTTATCATTCACAGCCCACTCCAAACATGTTTCAACATCTGTTTGTGAAATCATAACCTTTATGCCTAAATCTGTTCTTTATTTCCTCTATCCCCCTCAACTTAGACTGGAACCAGGTGAAGAACCTGAATGGGACCACAGTGGAGCACCACATGTCCTTATGGCTGCAGAAGACCATCGATGTTCCCAAGAATTTTGATCATCAATGGAACTGGAATACCCGTCTGTTCTTAAACATTTTTTGTGTTGATGTCAACTATCCAAAACCACGAGCACAGGTTTGGGGGTTTATTCAGACATTTATCTTTGCATCATGAATCAAATGCTGTGAAGCTCTGAGGGCTCATGTTGCTGTGATGTAAGGTTGATGTTCTGCTGACTAGAGCATTAAGGTGAGTGTTGAGAGCTGATGGACATTTACTTCACTACAGTTCTTCCATTAAAGTTGTTTAACATGTTTAGGACATTACAAATTACAAAATGTTTAATATTTGTCATTATAAAAATGCAATTAGGAGTCATTTACAAAACAAGTTTGAATATGAATGCATGTTTAGAGAAAGTAGAAAATGCAACTTTATTTTTTATCTATGTATTATGAAAATTAACATAATTTTTGTGTTAAAGAATTCACTGAGACATGTTCATTTTGTTTTATTGAATTATTCAATTTGTATTTTATTTATTGTATTTACTATAGAATTGGGTCATTTTAACCCAAGCTTTAGTAATTTAATAACCCAGAAGTTGGGTTTTATTTTTAATCCAGTTTTGGGTAGTCCTAACTATACAGTTGGGTCATTTTAACCCATTGATTGGGTAGAAAGCATAACCCAATAAGCTGGGTTAAACTCATAACCCAACCCTGCTTGGTTAAAATAACCCAGCACTGGGTCGGTCCCTTTTTGACCCAGCACCTGGGTTACAAAACAACCCAAATTGGGTTATTTTAACCCAGCAGTTTTTCACCTTATAAGGTGGATTTTATATTCTACCTTCCAACAAGTAACAAGGTTCTGCAAACCTTGTTGACATTTCAGGAGGACACGATGTCAGCCTGTGTTCCCAAACAAAGCCTTCTTCTGATAACACCGCAGGATTCCTCATGCCTCTAAATAAAGTGACTATTTTCAGCTCATATAGGTTAATCAATTGTGAAATGGAATGAAGAAATGTTATATGAAATGATCAATAATGTTTTCATTAATCTGTGCTTAAATTAATAAGGCTGATTAATCTGTGCTTGACTTACTGAAGTTTGAAATGAATATTATTATGGTATGATCAGTAATTGTAGATTTAACAAGTGAATCATTATCTACACTCAGACACAAGGTTCATTAGAGATAAATTAAAGTTAAGTTAAACGTAGGGTTAGGGTTAGATATTTTCTAAGCCCAAATCAGAACATCCTGTATCTGAAAGAGGCGTGATGTTCTGAGGTTTGCTTGTGAACACCCCTTAACATGACAAGTCCCGGTTGGCCAAGAAATCATAATATGAGAATATTAAAACAGAGCTCACTAGACGGTGAGTCAGTTCTAGAGGAAGCTGCGGCCATCCATCCCGTACACCATCTGAACACATGTTAAGCTATAGCTTTCAGAATTCAGCACGATTCTAAATTCACAGTTCAGCTAATTTAGAAATTATAACTATTTAACTATTCTGATTCAAATACCAGCTGTTTAAACATTTCAACTGTCCGCTTTTTTATAACTATGTTCAGAGATTTCAGTTTTCTGCTGTTTAGGATTTTTTTCTCCATTCTTCACCTACTTTTTAGCCTTTATTACACATGTTGGTGATTTTTGTTCTTAAAATTTTAATTACATTCAGTTAAATTTGACAGTTAAGCTTAGTTTAGCTTCGGTTCAGCTTATCCAGCAGCTTCCGCTATCAGTTTCAGAATTCTGCATATGCTGCTAAATTCAGCTGGGCTAACTGTGATATTTTAAGTACTAAACTATTCCATCTCAATTACCAGCTGTTTAAACATTTCACCTTTACAGAGTTTTAAACAACTTTCAGAGATTTAAGTTACTGCTGTGAGGATTTTTTCACTATTTTTCGCCTACCTTTTCAGCTTTATTACACTTGTTAGTTATTTTTGCTCCTTAAACTTCAAATACATTCATCTCGTTTAGACAATTTAGCTTAGTGTCAGCTTCACTGTAGCTGTTCAGCAGCTTCAGCTATCAGTTTCAGCATCCAGCAGTCAAACAGCATTTCTGCAGGAAATGCTGTTTATCTAAATAGGATTAATTATTAATTAGTGACTATAACTAATACGTTTTTAAAGCAAAGTTCCCAACAGTGTGATCAAAACAGCAGCTCATGTTATCTGGAACCTTTTTTAGAGGTTAAAGCATTTAACCTAGCACCTGCTTCATGTTTCTATTCCATGTATTTGATGCTCCTGTACCTGGATCTGGATCCTTCCGGTTCCATGCTGTCAGGAAAGCTAATCTTCTGGATTTTGGCTCCTCATCGGTTCTAAAAGCAAAATTAACTGTTAACTGAGGCAAACAGCAGAAAACAAAAGCGTGTCTCCCAACAGACTGTAGCTGCATGTTAATATAAAAATTTGCTTAAACTTTATTATCTTCAGAACTTTTTATTACACACCAAAACACAATAAAGAATAAACAATCAGTGGATCTCGCAAAAGTCAGAATTGGTAGAAAGAATAAATAAGTCGTTATTTTTATTTATATAGCATTCATCACCGACAGATAATCACTTCACATAGAAAACAAAACAAATACCCAAGTCATAAAAACATAATATTTGTAAACAAAACAGAAATTAATTAAAACCAGAAAGCAAGTCATAAAATTATAAACACCATAAAACAATGAAAGATGATTACAAATTCGAGTTAAGCGGGTAACCAGTGCAGAGACATCAGATCAGGAGTGATGTGTGCTCTTCTGTTTGCTCCAGTTAGGATCATTGCTGCAGAGTTCTGGACCAACTGAAGGCGGTCAAGGTTTTTTTTGTTAAAGCATGTGAAGAGTGTTACAGTAATCTAGACGGGAGATGATGATGGCATGGATGACCATTTCAAGTTCATGTTTTGACATCAATCGTTGCAGTTTAGAGAGTCAAGAAGCACCATGATTGGAGGTGGTTTAATAGGATAGTTTGGTTTAATAGGAAGTAGATGGGGGTGAAGAACCTGCCCTGATATTTCAAATTTTATTCTCAAAGAATGCTAGAAAGTTGTTACAGTCGGACCTTGAGTCAACTGGCATAAGAGAGGCATGAGGTGAAACAATCTGGCATCTTCGTCGTCTTCGTCTTCCTCCGCTTATCCGGGTCCGGGTCGCGGGGGCAGCATCCCAATTAGGGAGCTCCAGGCCGTCCTCTCCCCGGCCTTGTCCACCAGCTCCTCCGGCAGGACCCCAAGGCGTTCCCGGACCAGATTGGAGATGTAACCTCTCCAACGTGTGTCCTGGGTCGACCCGGGGGCCTTCTGCCGGCAGGACATGCCCGAAACACCTCCCCGGGGAGGCGTCCAGGAGGCATCCTGACCAGATGCCCAAACCACCTCAACTGGCTCCTTTCGATCCGGAGGAGCAGCGGTTCTACTCCGAGTCCCTCCCGAATGTCCGAGCTCCTCACCCTATCTCTAAGGCTGAGCCCGGCCACCCTACGGAGGAAACTCATTTCGGCCGCTTGTATCCGCGATCTCGTTCTTTCGGTCATTACCCAAAGCTCATGACCATAGGTGAGGATTGGGACGTAGATCGACCGGTAAATCGAGAGCCTGGCTTTCTGGCTCAGCTCCCTCTTCCCCACGACAGATCGGCTCAGCGTCCGCATCACTGCAGACGCCGAACCAATCCGCCTGTCGATCTCCCGATCCCTCCTACCCTCACTCGTGAACAAGACCCCGAGATACTTAAACTCCTCCACTTGAGGTAGGACCTCTCCCCCGACCCGGAGGTGGCAATCTGGCATGTATTGTGAAACAACTTTAAAGTTATTTTTGTTTGAGGAAATAGGCAAAGTAAGTGGTACCTGGAATTTTTCACCATCTCATTCAAAGATGTTATGAAGTCTTTAAAGAGACTCTAAGGAAGTTTGAAGTTTCTATGCTCGCGATCGCCATTCAGGCCTAACGCGTAACGGCAGCTTCAAAAGTAGGCTCGTGCACGAGGTGCGCATGCTGTGCGTGCACACTCCTTAACGAAAATAACAGCTGAGACAGTCCTGTGTGTGTGTGTGTGTGTGTGTGTGTGTGTGTGTGTGTGTGTGTGTGTGTGTGTGTGTGTGTGTGTGTGTGTGTGTGTGTGTCCCGGAGGACAGAGGACAGGAGAACACGCAGCTAATTAATTAAATAATTTAGTTCTGTACATTTCTCTTCAGCACAGCCGACAAAGGTTTAAGATGGGTCAGTCCTCCTGCATGCTCAGATCATTCCCTTCCCTTGCTTGAAAAATTGTTTCAAAATGAAAGTTGAACCCACATCTTGTTTATCTGTGAATTCAATGCCGTTCGGCGAGTCTCAAATAAAAATTTGGGCATCGTACTGTAAAAAATATATACTATTAATGTAAAAAAGAAACTCTAAATGAATAATTATGTTCACACCCGGAATCGAATCCAGGTCTTCTGCATGAAAGTCAGACATCTTACTAGGTGAGCTAAAGCGCCAGTGACATTCAAAGTATCTGTAACGTTTATATCCTTGATGACAGCTGTTGAGTGATGACAGACTCCTGGCGTGTAACATAAATTAATCCCACATGAATGATCACTCTTTTAACTGAAGTTGGGATGGAGCATAGCAGACCAGGAAGTTTGTCCAGGAGAGCAGGGACGGTGGCTGATGGAAAACATCTCGTTATGACACTGAAAAAACTGACATTCCTGATTATTGAATCACCTACCAGCAAAGTGGTAGGTTTTATCTCTGTGGAGTAGCGGAGGACTCTGGGTTTGGGTTCCTGTCGTGTCGAGGAACTGGAGGGTTTGCCATGGAGGAGCTCACTTCCTGAACCAGGGCATAAGGTCCAGCAGAGTGTCGACGCACAGCATCCTTCAGTGTTTTGCATCGGGCATCAGAGGTTGAGGTCTGGAGGTGAAGAGACTGCTGAGGTTGCTTCTTCTGGACTACAGGCTCCTGCTGGATGTCATCAGATGGTTGAGAGGGAGGAGGAGGCCTGGAGGTAACAGCTGGTTGTTCCTCAGCAAGTGGAGAGAAGATCACTAACAGGGGCTCTCCTACGGCCACGTACCACAACCTCTGACCAAGATGAAAATGGGTCAGGAGTAGAGCTGGAAGTCGGTTGTCATGGTACAGAGGGATCCCAAGCAACGGTGTCTTGGAGCAAAGAGTTCTGCATGGATGTTTCTTTTTCAAACTGACTGATGAAGGTAGACGAGATCTAAAACTATCCAGCAGCGTTTCCTTTTCCTGTAGTTCAGCAGAGAGTTGTCATACATCCTCTTTAAGGTTCTGGATCCTTTTTTTGCTTTAGAAAGCATAAAGCCGTCATTGTGGGACAGAAGGAGAGGGAAGACAGACATTCATGATAGCTTTAACACTTTAGCTGAGCTGCCTCTGTCGGATCTGAAAGATATGTAGTCCCAATAAAAGTCAGAAATCCAAACATCCTAGGAAACAAAGGTCCAATAAAATCCACAGAATCCAGAAATCGGTGATGGGAAAAAAATAGGCTTTAAGAGGAATTACAGCACAAAAGTACGGAGCTGAAGTAAACACGTCTGCAGGCTCATCTAGTTTTAAGTCAACGAACTAGTAGGGATGTGAGAGCTGAACAAGAAGATAGTGATGAAGAATCAACCAACAGTCACACCAAAGCCTGAACAGGTGAGTTTAAAGGAGACCAGTGAGTCCACTGATGTGAGGCTCGGGGAGAGAGGACAAGAGTCTGGGGGCCACAGCAGTGTGTAATGGCAGGTGTTACATGTTCAATTCCTCCATAATTTACAATGGGAGAAAACGTCTTTTAACAAGTGTATTCCTGCCATGTGGCTGACGGCAGATTAGACACTGTTGTTGTTTATTTAATCGTCTGGATCTTTTAAAGCATAAAATAAATGAGCTCTTAACTGAAGTCTATTGTTCATTTGTCTCCTATTGTCAGTGTATGACCAACCATAGTTGTTGATTAGCTGTTTGCATGAGCTACAACCAGTAGTCTGTTGCTGTTTAGTTAACTTAGCAGTGCATAAATAAATAAAAGCACTCTCCCTATTGGTTACCCAGTGACTAGAAAGTTACTAATCAGTTTAGACACGTTTTACAAAAATCTGAATAAGTATTAGTAGACAAATATATTTATATTTTATTGACTTGTGTTTTCCGAGGATAAAACTGCTGAGTCATCTCGTTTTCCAGTGGGTCCTCTTTCTTTACAAGCAAAAAAAGAAAGATAACCGAGTCAATGTACAAATGACAAATCTAGAATAATAGTAACAAACAAAACACTAAAGCTATATAAAAGGGAAAAAATAAGTGTTTAGGGAACACAAATTAACCATTAATTAGCTGTCAATTAATATGCATATTTGTGGACTACTAAGTGTAAACTACTCATTATTAAGCACTTATTCACTGCTTATTACTAATGCTGTAATTCTAACATTAACAGGCCATAAATTAAGAGTTTTATCTAAATAAGCCATTCATAATGGTTTGTTGCTGATTAACGCACATACGAATTATCTCAAATCAATATGTGGCTTATAAAGAAGTAATTCGAGGGGAATAGTTGTTCTGCATTAATAACCAAAAATATTATGTTCTAGTATTATGTAAATAAACAACAAACTCCACATGTTGATAGAGATTAACCACTTAAAGACAAGAATATGTTCCCCATTCTAAAGTCAGCTTTGTTTCATACATAATTACTAGTAGTTTGATGTTTATTTATTCGCACAGCCATAACATCAATGTCAGGAGACAGCTTCTACAAATAAATCTTGGATTACAGCAGGAAAAAGGTCTTCCTTAAAAATCAAAGATCTAGTTCCTGTTTAGTTACAAACTATAAAGTCAAAGTGTACAAAACATCTTCTGTAGGGATTAGTTAGGGCTGTCTCCCAGATGGTGAGGTCATAAACAGTGTGTGTTCTGACAGTTAACCCTTAGCACATTCATGAAAATGGATGTGGACAGTTTAATGTCTGATGACCTTTTGCATACATGGCCTTTCCTATGCTACACCTGCCTCCATAAATATGGGGGTGTTGAGCTGAACTACACTTTCAGAAACCAGTAGGGGTCGGAACTAGGGCTGCAACAACGTATCAATAAAATCGATAGAAACCGATGAAGAAACGCATTGGTAACGCATTTCGTCATTGATTCATTGTGTCGTGCAACTTTTTTTCGTGTTGCGCAACCTTTATGCAACAGTCAATGCACGTAGCTCATGTGCAGGAGACAATAGTGCCGAGCCAGATCAGAACGAGAGAGAAAGCCGGTGTTTTGATGAGGAACAACACTTAGAACCGTA